GGCCGGTACAAAGAATATATTTGGAAAAAAATTTACAAAGAATTTTTTACACTAAAAATATAAAGATTTTTTAAATTTAAGCTGGGTCTGGGCCAGGGTTGGCCCTCCCCTGGCTCCGCCCCTGAGGTCAAGGATATGGTAGAGTTTTTAACATGCTGGATGACCTTTGTTGAGTAAAAACACATACAAAGAATACATTCATTGTTGTTCTCGCTAAATGCAATTAGTCAAGAGTTTTACACGAATTAACAGATCCCTGACTCAAAATTTGTGCAAAAATGGTTACCCATGATAAAAAATAAAAAAGGCAACGAAATCAAACCGGGATTGGCTGGAGTCTGGAGCCCAGGACCGGAATAACCCTCGCCAGTCCTTGATTCAATATACCCAACCCCAGGATTGGCCGGTTTAGACCAGTCCATGCCTACCGGCTACCACATAAATAAATTTATACTAGCTGCTAGCTACAGGGTCCACACGTTTAATGAGATGACCAAAAAAGGCTCTAGATTCATTACTTACATTTTCTGGATACACATGGGATCCTAAATTCATGGTCTGAGTGTACTTCCAACTGTATCAAGTGTATTAATTAGGGAGTCAGATACTCAGATTTACGTAAATACTCCGTATGAAAGAATGACAGAGGCAATAACATACTCTCTCCCTCTTTTAAAACTTTTCCAAATTTTACCGGTAAATAGATTAATAATGTAAAAACCATGTGGTTGAGTTTTGGGTAGAGGAGAGAGAAATAACTGAAAACATAAATTCTTTACTTAAAAGGGAAAGTGATGAAATTTGTGGGATATCCAAAAAAGAAAGTTGACAAAGTTTTAAGAGACGAAGGGAATATATTTTTCGCAAAAGCTATGTATTGGCCTCTTTACGTGATGCCAAATACGATAGGGAAAACTGTCAAATATGTCCTCGAACTTTCATAAAAAGATCCATTAAATCCTTCTATAGGAGGTTCTGTCCGGCCATCGCGATTTGGGGCAGTTCCCGGTGGAATTTTTTGATTGAATTTTTTGAGCATCTTATTAACCAAGTCTAGTTTACTCATACCAAATTTCAGTTAAAAATTCAATCGGGAACACATTCAAATTAATTCTTGAAGATAAATGCCCATTTTTGCGTTCTCGAATTAATTTGAATGCGCTCCCGAATAAATTTTTAGCTGAAATTTGGTATGAGTAAACTAAAATTTGTGAATAAGATGCTCAAAAAATTTCATCAAAAAATTCCACCGGGAACCGCCCCAAATTGCAACGACCGGACAGAGTCTCCTATAGAAGGACTTAATTGACTTTTTTATGAAAGTTCGAAGACCTATTTGACAGTTTTCCCAATATGATAGTATGTAGGATGTGAAATGAGAGCAAAAGACCACTTCCATTCCATTTTATGTGTCCTACTCTGATTTAACATAACTTTTAATAAAATGGTTGAAAAAGTAAAAATTACGGTTGCGGTTTTTTTGCTTTTATCGGTTCATGGAATACAAGTAACGGACTTGAAATTTCAAATATTACCCTTCAGCTATATAATAGCTGAAATACAAATATACATATAATGATCGGACACAATAAAAATTTCTAACAAGGACACCAAAATTCCTCCTCCAAAACTATTTCTGTGCAATGAAGAGTTTTCTGGAAAAGTTTTATTTTATTTTTATTTTTCCGTTAGTAGTACTCGTTTTTATTCCAGTTCTGATCATTTTAGTCTTTAAATTGTCTATTTCATGTCTAGCAAATTAGGTTACTTTATGTGAAGTGGCTGATTCTATGTCTATTCTCAGGGCTCACAATCGGATCTGTTATGACTGTCCGGATGTTATCTTGTATCTTCTCTCGATTTTAATATAAAAACCTGATCCTTTATATTCAACAAAATCCAACTATTAGCGGTCCGCTCATAATAATCTCAACTATTTATGATTTTATAATAATCCTAACTTTAGAAACCTTCCGCCAATAATGGTCCGATGTGACTGACTACCTGTTCAGTCAACTAAAAAAGAAATATCATATTATAATAATCCGAACTATCATCTGTCTACTTTTGTTGGACCCAAAATATTAAAAATAAAATTTCCATAAATAAATCGAAAGGATAAAAAAATTATAAAAACTTATTTTTACATAAGTAACCTTTTAGGTAGTTTTTAAACTTAAAGAATATAAAATAAATAATTATAGAATATGGAAAAACTTATATAAATTTTTTAATTAAAATTTCATAACATGTAAGATATTATAAATATATAATGAGTACAAAATATATAAATAAGGAGAGTAAAAAGGTCAATATAAAAACCTTAAATGAAAAATGAAATTCAAATTAAGTACAAATTCATATTAAAAAAATAAAAACCTTGATTTGAAAAATTAAGAAAGTGAAAAAAGGTAAAAAATAATAATACTTTTTTTAAAATATTAAATAATTTAAAAGCTAATCATCCTAAAATATTACATCATTTTAAATTAATTAGAAAACAATAAAATCACGAATCTTAAAAGAATCCAAAAACGATTATTTATCAAAAATAAAAAAATAACATTTTTTATTTCTAAAATGCTATTCCACTTTTATATTTAGCTAAACTTTCATTTATAAAATTCAAAAATAAAAATTTAAATTTTTTTTAATTTTTGTAAAAAAAATTGAGTTGATAGTTCAGATTATTGAAACAAGAACGAGTATAGTTCAGATTATTTGTAAATACGTTTACTTTCTATTTGAAATTGACCTGTTATAGTTGGTAATACCCGGTCATGGATCGTGGCGGACAGTCCATATAGTTGGAATTATATAAAAATAATCAATAGTTGGAATTATTGTTAGCGGACTGACAATGGTTGAGATTATTATTTTCAATTTTTCCTAAATTAATAAAACTCTAATCTTCCAATCGTACTTCTTCCATTCTTTAATAGTTACAACGTACATTAAGATTTTTACACTATTCACACAATTTATTTTGACCATGATGTATGTATAATCAAATTATTATGTATAAAATATTATTAAATTTATGTTAACGTGATTTTTCTGAATATTATTTTTTTATAATGGTTTGATGGAGTATTGACTCCTAGAGAGAAGGGAGAGCTAGAGAGATAAAGTGATATATATAATGAATTTCCAACCCTTTACATGACTCCCTTAGGGAGTATTTATAGGAGAAAAGCGGGCTGGGCTTCCAGGCTTGGGCCTGGAAGGCCCATTTACAATAAAAGGCCAATAAATGGCTAACAAATGGTATTTAATCTATTCTAACGGGTATACATGAATAAAATGGAGTGTACAACGAAATAAATGCTATCTACTGAGCGTATGTGGGCCACTGTCCGGGTCCAATAGTCGTGAGACCCGGGGGTCCGAGTCTATATACTCTATCATGGTTACTAATAGAAGGCGTTTACTTCGCTGCTATATTTGCACATGATAGTACTACGTACATAATTAGTATAATTGCACTCAAACTTGTATATTGACTTATGAAAGTCAAACTCTTAGGAGGCGTTTACTTCGCTGCTAAAGTCACAGTTAGGTTAGTAAGACAGGTGAAGTAAACACGCAAGCTGTTTAAAAAACCGTTTACTAACCGAAAAAGGTGCTTAAAGTGTCGCTTACTAAGCATACAACCCACCCATGTATTAATTAAGCGACACTTTAAGCTTTTTCAGTTTCCGAATTTACCCTTACCTTTACTTCTTGCCCTTACCCTATTGTTACCCTCTACCCTACCCCCACCCCCACACCCTAACTCTACCTTATCCTGACCCACCCATATCCTAACCCTTACCACCCCACCCTGACCCCACACCTTTTTATCTCTACCCTACCCCAACCCCAACCCCACCCCACTACCCCCCTTTTGACCATACCTTACCCTACCCCTTTACCCCTACCACATGCCCCTACCTCGACCCCACCCTGATCCGACCATACCCTTACCCTACCTCGACCCTACCCCCTACCACCTGCCCTAACCCCCACCTCGTACCCTACCGCTTACCCAACCCTACCCCTACCACCTGCCCCTACCTCGATCCCACCCCGACCCTAAACACCCCCATCCCTACACCCTACCCCTACCTAGGGGGTGTGTAGGGGGTACAAGGGGGTTAGGGGTACGAGGGTCGGTGTAGGGTCGAGGTAGGGGGAAAGGGTTAGGGTCAGGGTAGGGTTAGGAGTCGGTGGTTAGGGGTGGTGGGGATTTGGTACGCATACGAGGTGACGCTCATGTATTATATTATATACTTGTGTTCATGTATGTTTCTATGTCTATATACGTAAAAGGCTATTTTGGACATTTTAATGTTAAACGGTGTTTTAAATCCTTTGAAGTAAACATGTGCTTACAACACCGTTTATTTTATACACCGCTTATTAACACGAGATATAATAACCACTATTTAGTCACCCGTGAAGTAAACGTGTCCTTACAATCTTAAGGTTAAATAAGAACAGATAATATGGGGGTGTTTGGAACTGATTCTGATTCTGCTTCTTTTTTTAAGTGAGAATCAGAATCAGAATTTTCTGCTGTTTGGAAAAGTGATTCTGTCTGGAGTGTTTGGTATTGATTCTGCTGTATGTAATAGAGAATCAGTTTAGAGTGTTTGGATAACTTGCTTTTAAAAACTGCTTTTGATGTAAATTTACCAAAAGGACATATATATTAGGCATTTCTTGCAATATAAAATAATATTGTTATTTGCATAGGCTAAGATAGAGATATTAGGAAAACAAATACTTGAATAATATAATCCAAATAAAATTAATTATAACGTAATAAATTACTTGTACAAAAATATGAAAAAATTAATTGTTTATTTGAAAAGCACTTCATTTGTTCTTTTGTAAATTACATATGTATTCGTTTTAAATAGATATGTTCGAACACGTGCACATTAACAATAGTAAATACTCATCAAATCGCATTGATCATTTAAAAATAAAAAATACAAATGTAAAAGCATATAGATGAGTTGTCAAAAATAATATAAACTACACATGCATTCGGGCAAAAATAAATGTTAATGCATGAAAGTTTGAAAATGTATTTTACCAAAATAAAAGTTAACGAAAGTTAGCATTTATCGCATTTGCTATTATGTTTCTAATAGCATTCATGTGCACTACATCTTCACTTCTTTGACTTGATGATCCCTCTCCTTGTGTGAATGGAACATCTTGAGGATCAACTTCTTCATGCGGGTCATATGCTTCATTTTGAGCCACTAGGAATGCATCGTCTTGAGAATGCTTCATTCTAATGTAGTTGTGTATCGCCATGGATGCAACAATGATGTCAATTTGAGTGGCAATAGTGTAGTTGACATGCATGTCTTTGAGTATAGACCATCTTGCTTTCCAAACTCCAAAAGTCCTCTCAATTACGTTGCGCAAAGATGAGTGTATGTAGTTGAATCTCTCTTCTGTCCCCTTTGGAGTACGTGCTCCTCTTGTTTTGCCTCTTCGAAAATCCTGAAAGTGATACCTTATATGTGTTCCCTTATAGGGTGCAAGATAGCCCCTACTATTTGGATACCCCGCATCAACTAGATAATACTTATCTATAAGAAAAAGAAAACAACATGACTTTTAGTATTTTAGAAAGAAAAAAAATGATTATTATGTTGTTTGTTACCTCCACTAGGATGTGGGAAGTTTCCGTCTTGCCTCCGTATCGTATCGGTAAATATTCTTGTATCATGAGCAGATCCTTCCCATCCCGCCAATACATATGTGAAACACATGTTGAAGTCACAAACTGCTAGTACGTTTTGTGTTGGGTAGCCTTTCCTCCCAATCCATTTTGTTTGCTCACCCTCTCTAACACTAGCCTTCACATGAGTACCGTCAATTGCTCCTATGCAATTCTATTAAAATAATATATAATTAAATAATTAACAAACATTTAATTTTATTACACATAAAATAAAATACTACTCACCTTGAAATATGGCCAATATCGTGAGTTGTGGCGTATATAAGATGGACATCCTTCATTGTAGCTATTATTGGGTCGAATTAAATCCTTTGAAAGTCTACACACGGCTCGGAGAATTATGTGAAAATGACGATGTATTGTCTCACCGGAATGATTAAAAGTCTCTTGAACCAACCTATTTCCCACACCATGAGCCAATGTCATTAGGAAAATACCCAAAGATTCTTCTATGGATAGTTCTCTTGACTCAACAAAACCATAGTGACACTTAAGATCCTCACATAGACTGATAAACACTTCTTTGTGTAGCCTAAAGTCTTGATAGCATCGAATAGGGTGGCCTTCTAGAACTTCCCGAATAAACATAGCTCCTGAACGAGCAGATGTACGACAAGGGATCCGCATTTGCCTATGCAAACTGTGTCCAAATAATATGCCAGAGACAATAATACCACACAATATATCATGTTGACTATCTTCCTCGTCAACTTCGTTCTCAGAGTCTACCGGGCCAACCTATTAAAATGGCTACCGGGCCTATTACCATTTCGCACTTCAACAAGACATACATCAATGAAGGTCATATGGGTTGCATGGTCCCAATGAAATTTTTTGGAATCATTTTTTTGTTTCCCTTCGTCATCAAAAGTACTAACTTTGTGAGATGCCATACCTGAATTTAACATACTATTAGCAAACTTGATTCACAATTTCATACTCCAAACCCGATTAAATCTTGTTAGCAATATGAATTTATTAAAAGTGATCATAAAAAGTGCAAAAAGTAAGGTTTTTCTGGCATGATCAAGCAAAAGTAAGAAGCTTGTGAACAGATTCTAAGCAAAAATTACCCAAAATGAACTTTAAAATGGTGACCTAATTAAAAAAAATCTCAAGCATATCTCAACCGTTAATGGTGAAAATCACAAGCATATGACTAACCAAAAGAAATTAATTGCATAAAAGTGAAGCACCAAACACACAATGATGGGAAAAGGTATTAATTGATATACATAAAGGAGAATAGAAAAATCCACAACTCCAGAGAAGAGCTCACTGGTTTACCTGGGCTGTGGAACGGAGAAGAGAAGACCAGCAGAATCGGCGGAGAAGAAGCTCTTGGGCAGCGTAGGTGGGAAGAGCTCTGGCCTGTCCTTGCCCTAGTTCTTGCCCAGCGCAGGTGTGCGTCGTTTTTTGAGGGAGGGTTTCCGGATTCTAAAAATTAAAAGAATCAGAATCACTTTTGGAGAAGCTGCTACTACCCAGATTCTAAAAATCTGATTTTTGAGCCATTTTAAAATCACTTCTAAAAGCAGATCCAAACACCTTCAAAACTGATTCTGCTTCAAAGTGCTCCTTGGGATAGCAGAATCAGTTTCTAAAAGTGGTTCCAAACACCCCCTATAAGCTATCGAATAAAAGCTATTCAAAAATCATTTCTTTTACATGGAGAAAGATGTGGATGGATGAAAGTCTGTCTACCTTGTTAAAACAGTCAGAGGTTGAATATAGCAACAGCAAGTTCCCACACATTTCCACCTGATGAAAGAAAAAACTAAACTTATCTCTGGGCCACCTATAAATACACAGCTCCTCTTTCCTTTGCAATTCACTCTCAATCATCTACGTTTTCAAAAGGAATATATAAGCCGCTGCAAAATGGATACATTGCCCAAATGTGGAGCAAATTATGTTCCCCTCACCCCAATCACTTTCTTGAGAAGGGCATCCAAATGTTACGCCGATCACAACTCCGTCATTTATGCCGGTGTCCGCTTCACATGGAGCCAGACCTATGACCGCTGCCGCCGACTTGCCGCCTCCCTCCGGGCTCTCAACATTGCCAAGAACGACATCGTAAGTAACAAATTTGAATATTATCAATACTACTCCTTATTAATTAATTTTCTAATTGGCAAAGGTGCTCTAATAAAGTTACTTTTGTTCTCATTGCTTGTCTCATTCATCCTAAAATTAAACCAATCTCGGCTTTGATCCATATAGGTTTCGGTGATAGCCCCAAATGTTCCAGCAATGTACGAAATGCACTTTGCGGTGCCGATGGCGGGGGCGGTGCTGAACACCGTCAACACGAGGCTCGACGCGAAGAACATCGCCACCATTCTCAAGCATTCTGAAGCAAAGGTGTTTTTCGTGGACTACGAGTACGTGGAGAAGGCGAGCAAGGCATTGGAGTTAATGATGGCCGAAAATACACCTATGCCGTTGGTCGTTGTCATTGATGACATCGCCGCCCCCACCGGAATCCGGCTAGGCGGCCTTGAGTATGAGGAGTTAATACTCCGCGCCCGTGGTTATCAGGGCGCGGAGGAGGAAGGGAGCGATGTGGCCATCGACGACGAGTGGGACGCGATCACCTTGAGCTACACGTCCGGGACGACATCTCAGCCGAAGGGAGTTGTGTACAGTCACCGGGGAGCCTTTTTGAGCACGTTGAGCTTGATCTTGGGATGGGAAATGGGGATCCAGCCTGTTTATCTCTGGTCACTCCCGATGTTTCACTGCAACGGCTGGACCTTCACCTGGGGGGTCGCCGCCCGTGGCGGAACCAACGTCTGCATACGCAACACCACCGCCAGGGACATATACGACAGCATTGCTTCTCACGGCGTGACGCACATGTGTTGTGCGCCGATTGTTTTCTCCATTCTCTTAGAAGCCAAGCCGCCCGAGCGCCGGGAACTGCCTGCTCCGGTCCAGATCCTCACTGGCGGGGCGCCGCCGCCTCCGCCGCTCCTCAGGAAAATCGAGGGTCTGGGATTCCGCGTCGCCCATGCCTACGGCCTCACCGAGGCAACCGGACCGGCTATGGTTTGCGAGTGGCAGGGGAAATGGAACCGGTTGCCGGCGGAGGAGCAAGCCGGGTTGAAGGCGAGACAGGGGATTAGCATACTCACACTCGCCGACGCCGATGTGGTCTCCGACCTCAAGACAATGCGGCGAGTTCCGCGCGACGGCCGGACAATGGGCGAGATCGTGATCCGTGGCAGCAGCATCATGAAGGGCTACTTCAAGAACGACGCGGCCAACGCCGACGCCTTCAGAAACGGGTGGTTCGTCACCGGAGACGTTGGCGTCATCCACCCCGACGGCTACCTCGAGATCAAAGACCGGTCCAAAGACGTCATCATCTCCGGCGGAGAAAACATAAGCAGCGTGGAAGTGGAAAGCGCGATCTTGAATCTTGCTGGCATTTCTGAGGTCTCCGTCGTCGCTATGCCGCACCCCAGATGGGGCGAGAGCCCTTGCGCCTTCGTAGTCCTGCAATCTGCCGGAAAACGGACAGAAGCGGACCTAGTGGCCCATTGCCGGAAATCTTTGCCTGGATACATGGTTCCCAAGAAGTTCCAGTTTGTGACGGAATTGCCCAGAACATCTACCGGAAAAGTTCAAAAGCACCTCCTAAGGGCGGCGGCGAAGACATTGGTCATCACTGAAAATGATAATAAGTCTAAAGAACCGATTAGTAACCGGACTAACCGAACAATTAACACACAAAGGGAGCGGATATATCCTAATCACCATTATCCGGAGCAGAGTATCCTTGCTCTGTCCCGCTTATAATTTAGGGTACTGCAAGGGCTTGTATGTCAAATTTTGACTTAGCCGATTGTCAATTTTTAGTTGATTGGGACATCGTTGTTGTTTTTAGTTTTAATGAATGTACATATTATATTTGTCTATTCATAATAAGGTTCCAGACTTGAAGTACATTAGAAAAAACAAACAATGCTCTATAAATGAATATAGGAGTATACTCCTTTCGTCCTATAAAATAAGTCTCACTTTCCTTTTTAGATCGTCCCAAAAAATCGTTCTCATTTCTCTTTTTGGAAAGTTTTGTGTGGCTAACATTCATTTACTTTTTTCTTACTCAATCACAACCATACATTTCTACTTTATTCTCCTTTTCTTAAACTCCGATCCAAATTGAAGTGAGACTTATTTTATAGGACGGAGGTAGTAATTTTCATTCAAGAATTACGACTCTAACCTTCTGTATTTTGCTTTAATTATGCACAAATACCACTGCACACCCTTTTAAGTAATTACACACCCAATAAACACATTCACTCCATACAATCTTGGAAATTTTGTCAAACAAAGTTGTAATCTTGGAAAGGTGCATGTAGTTCATGACTTTGGGTTGATTATTAGTACGAAAAGTTGTCCGGAAGATAGGGGCGGCCCTAGAGGGGTGGCCGCCCATGGCAGGACCAACGTGTGCATACGCAACACCACCGCCAAGAGACATATACGACAACATCGCGTCACAGGCAGGTACGGATCAAAAAATAATAGGTGCGGTGGGCTAAGCAGTAAAAAAAATCGCTACAACACATATAAAAAAAGTCCAATTCACACCCTGAATACTTTCAAAAAATACCTATATATTATACATATTTTATGTAAAATTAATCAATAAATGTATATATACAACACAAGCTATGAAGGAATTAAAAGACTTGAGTCGCTGAATGTAGTAAGTGTGATGTGAAGCTGTTTCACCCCGAAGGAGTTATACTGTTTGATTCCCCCCAACCTCCTTGTTTTGCATAATTCATTTTGTACTTTTATTGTTTTTCCCATGTTTTATTGTTTACCCTATGCATAATTGTTTTTTTTTGGGATTAATTATTGAAAGTTATTTGAATGTTAAGATTAAATTATCAAATAAAAATTGTTCAATATAGGACTAAAACATATACAAAGTTCAAAAATAGGATTATGTGTGTTTTATTTCCCAAATAAGAGTAACTTGACTAAAACTTCTCAAAATAGGAGTGCATGGTTCGAATTCCCTACAACCTCCTTTTTTTGCATAATTCATTTTTTACTTGTTTTTCCCATATTTTATTGTTTACCTTATGCATAATTCAATTTTGGGATTAATTATTGAAATTTAATTGAATGTTAAGATTAAATTATTAAATAAAAATTGTTCAATATTGGACTAAAACATATACAAAGTTCAAAAATAGGACTATGTGTGTTTTATTTCCCAAATAAGAATAACTTGACTAAAATTTCTCAAAATAGGAGTGAATGAGTCTTATTTTGGAAATAAAACATTGATGGCCCTATTTATGAACTCTATCCATGTTTGAGTCTTATTTAAAGAATTTTCTTATTATTAAATTTGTGTATTTGTGAATGTTTTTTAAATATTTTACGATTTAGGATGCAAAAATATTTCTATAGTGTACCCAGATTTAAAGAAATCCAGAGTATCGGGAGTAGTTTAGATGTTAATTCAAATGGTTCACCATTAGTAAATGAAGAATTGGATCAAGTAATTGCTGAACTGAAACTAATTTGACTTATAATCTACATAAATAACATGTTGATTTTGAATCTTTAAAATCTGATCATGGATTGAAAATAAAAACTGTTGATTTTCATCCTAATGTTCAAGATGAGGTATGTCGCAGTTACCTTCTGATGGATAGCGTACCCGGGGGGTAGCTTATCCGAGGGTTTACTGCGGGGAGTAGCTTAGAGAGAAATCAGAGCAAGTAAGAGAGAGAAAGTATATTGAGTTGAGGCGTTAAAGCGTGGTTACAAATGGGGAAATGGAGTGCTATTTATAGTAGCAATAAATGCCGGACAGGGACACGTGTCAAGCGCCCATTGGCCGAGAGGTCACCTCCACTGGTTGGCGCTGGCAGCCGCATGTGACCGCATTTAATGCGGCTGTTGGATGGGACGTTTGTACAGGGTACGGTGATCTGTACGCATGTGATGCGGATATCATGTCGGGAGAGGTGCCCTCGGCTGCAGAGAACTAGCCAAGGGCTCTTAGTGCCGAAGACCCCTGAGAACCGAGGGCTCCAGGTGCCGAGGGCTACTGTTTTCTGCCGTTTCCCCCCCAGTTTCTTAGTTTGCTTGAGAAACCCGTTCTGTGAGAGTTTAGAGCCTTCGGCCAGGGGGCCGAAGGCACCCCTGGTGCGTATTGCGGGCTGCTTGGTACTCTCGGCGCTGTGATTTGGGCCTGTTGGGCCTTCACTGGAGTAGTAGGAGTCTGTGGGCCGGGTGTTCCCGGGCCATATACTCCATCAGGAGTCCCTCACTCCTTTTGCCGAAAGGTACTTGAGGGAAAAGGAGTAATTTGTGCTTGCCCTTTTGATGTTGTCCCGTCGTAATCTCTGAAGTTGGTGAGGAGTTGTTGCTTTCATGTCTCTGCCGAAGGCAGTCTCTCAGTTACCCACATGTCGGGACTTGAGGGATTGCTTTGCCGTTTGTTGGAATTTTTCACCATTTTATAATTTAATGATTTTCCCGAGGGGGTCCTCCAGTCCCCCACTCCTTGAGGCACTTGTAAAGTGGTGAAAAGGAGTAGAGTAGTCCGTTGTAGCATGGGGCCGAAGGCTGACGCTTTTCGTTTCATTTTGGGGGGATGCCTCGTTAAAAACCTCATTAGGAAAAACCCTGTGGGAAAAAATCCTAATGAGGGAAAAAGAGTGCACTGAATTCCCCCAACGATGAATCGAAAACGTGAAACCTTGGTTCCAAATGGAGAATAACGGTAATGCCGAAGGCTCTGCTTGTTCTGAGGGCTCATGTGTTGATTAGCCGAAGGCTTGCTGTTGATGTCCTGGGAGGTGCCGAGGGGGCCCCTCAATCTGGGGATCGAGGGCGTGATGGATGAGGGCAGTAGTTGAATTGTTACCGAGGTGTCCCCTGCTTGTTAATTAGTTGGTGATGAGTATATCCGAGGGCTCTCATTACCTGTGTGCTGTAGGCTACCCGTCAATGAGGCATACTCCCCGGGGGCTACCCGACCCTTACAGTGTTGAGGGGGAATCCCCGAGGGGTGGCCTAATATGAAGCCTTGGGTTTCTGAAGGAGTGGCCCCGAAGGCGACTGTTATGTACTGTGTGGGCACAACCCGGGGGCGTCTCTGGGTAAGTGTACCCGGAGGCTCTCCTTGATGAAGTGGAGTGAAGCAAGAGAATCCGGGGGCTCCCAGAATATAGCCGTTGGAAATATAGCCGTTGGAATATGTAACGTCAGGATATGGCCGTTGGGGGGTACACATGGCGCGTGATGGTTGGATGTCCGTGGGCGGCGTCACCGGTTGGGCGAAGACACGGCGTGTAATGATGACAGTCCATCCGGAGGCCCGGTTTCCAGGCCCAAGCCCGGATTCCAGCGCCTATAAATACCCCATGGCCGGCTCCCTTCCCCGTGTGCGAAATCCCTATAGCGAAGCTCTGCCAAAATTTCTAGAGAGAGAAACAGCAGCCCTCGATCAATCCCTGCCTTAAGGTCAGTTCCCCCCTGCTCTTCTCGTTGTAGTTAGCCGTGCCCTGTGCCCTTAGGCTAGGAGATAGAATTTTTTAGAAAACACTAGTGATTCCGAGCCCTCGGACTATAGCCAAGATGTCTTCCCAGAGTGACTCCCAGGACATATCGAGGGATCCATCGGTGGAAGAGGAGAGCTTCTCAGACGCTGGGTCCTCAAGTGAGCAGCCCTCGGTCCAAGAGGACGTCGCGATGGCGATAGAGGTACAGAAAGACCTGACGGCTGAAGTAGAAGCCGAGGGCTTTGAGCAGGAGGCGGAGGACGAAGACCTAGCCCTCGCCGTGCAGGTTGCAGAGGAGGAGGAAGCAAAGGAGAGGACAAGGGTGACAGTGGTTGTCCTTCCCCCCCCCCCCCCCCCCCCCCCCGTGGCTCTGGTGAAGCAAGCAGCTCGAGGCCACTGAACCCGACGCCCTTGAGAGTAGCCCCCGGATCGAGGGAGAAGAAGGCGAAAGCTGCTACCAGGAAGAAAGTCGGGGCTGCCGACCAAGGGAAGCCCGTTGATATGCCCGAGGGGTATTCTTGGCTGAACACTGAGGCCCTTGAGATAAAGTCGAAGGCGGACAAGGCGGATTTCTACGTCACGCGGCTACACGTAGGGCCTTCGGCCGTGGTGGTCGAGCCGGGAGTTGACGATATGCTGTCTCAGGCGCCCGAGGGGTGTATTGCAGTACACGTACTGTCGGTCTCCATGGGCCTTCGGTTCCCTCTGCACCCTTTCCTCCGGGAGTACCTTAGGTTTGTTGGCTTGGTCCCCTGCCAGCTGACACCTAATAGCCACTCCTACGTGGCGGGTTTTTTGAACCTCTGCAGGGACCGAGGGGTGACCCCCAGCCTGGACTTGTTCTTCCAGAGCTTCAACCTCTGCCGAGGGGGTCACGCGAATGCCGAGGGCTTCGCTAACCTGCAGCAGATAGCTAGGTGGAAGCTATTTACAGAGGCGCCTTCGTCCAATAAGGGCTGGAAGGAGCGATGGTGCTACGTCAGAGTTGCTGAGAGCCCATTTCCGGCGGAACTTCGGGATCGCTTCCGTCGGCATCCGAAGGTTGGAAACGCCGCTCTCGAGAAGGATGGCTTGATAATAGCCACAATCCCGGAGGGTCGCACGAAGCAAGTGTCTATTAAAGATTACACTGCCGACAAGGAACTCTTCGCCCTCGGCTTCCGGAGATACCGCTTCATCGGGGAAACGGACGAGAAGTATCCCGTTTTTACTGAGGCCTTCGGGGGAGAAGGAGGTAGTCTACGAGGGCCCTTAGTCTTGTACTTAGGCATCCTTATTTTGCATCCCGATAGTTGTCTGTTGTATGGATCCTTCGGGTTAATCTTTTCTCTTCATTTTTTTTGCAGGTATGGAGGCACTCTTTGCCATGAAGGAGAGGGCTCAGGTCCAGAAGAAGGAGAAAAAGGAGCCCTCGGGCCAAAAGCCCATTGATGAGGTCTTCCCGAAGGAGGTTGTGGAGCCTTCTGTTGATGCTGCCCTTGCTAC